TAACCGCCACCCCTACACTCACCACCCCCAAACCCTAAAACGGGTGGCACGGGGCAGGAGCGCGGGGGACGGCGCGGGGGACGGCGCGCGGCCCTGAGGCAGGCTGCCCGGGCCGCGCGCGGGCCTGGCGCAGCCCGTACGGGCCGCGCGCGGGCCTGGCGCAGCCCGTACGGGCCGCGCGCGGGCCTGGCGCATGTCGCGCGGGCCGCGTCGGGCGACGGGGGGCGACGCGCGGGTCCGCGGGCTCCGTGACGGGCGACGGGGGGCGCTTCGACGGGCGACGGGGCGGTCGACGGGAGGGGGGGAAGCGCGGTTCCGCGGGGTGACGTACGAGGGAGGAAACCGCCGCACACCTCGGAGCCACGGCGGGCAGAGAACCGCCGCGCGCCCCGAGCGCGCGGCGGAAATAAAAAAAACGAACATCGCGCGCCACGGGACGCGCGACACACAGGAAGGCAGCGGAAGCAGGCGGGCCCACAGGCCAGGAGCGTAACCGCTCTGATAGCATGTTAAAATAGTAGGCACAAGTAGGAGCCATAGCTAGGTAAACCCTAGCTAGGCAAGAGAGAAATGAGCAAAGGAGAGGTTTCACTAGCTGCAGTTGGGATACATATAGCAAACCCTAACTGGGTTGTACCCGCTATAGAGCACCCCACTACAGGCTAGATAATAACATTCTGACAAGGGGCATCCTGCCTAAATACAATGTAGAAGCAACATAACTACTAGCATGCACATCACTACATACATCGGTAACTTGGTTGCGAGCACTTTGACTCTCAACAATGATAAATGATGAGTAGGAAGTGGGACACAACACACCAGCATCGAATATACGCTCCATCCCCACTTACCAAAAGTACTTGAGATGGCAGCGACCCCCGCTGTAGCAACAGGCTCAACAACAACAGGGGCAAATGGGGTAGGTAGCTGGGCAAGAGTATCAGAATCACTAGGCAAGAATGAATGAAAGGAGAGGGGGTTGAACTAGCAGGCAGTTGAGTACAAATAGCAAACCCTAGATTGGGCTGTACTCACTATAGAGTACCCCACTGCAGGCTAGACAATAATAGCATTCTGACACACCCCCATAGCCAAAGTGGGGTGTAATCAGCAGAGCAAGCAAAGCAGTACAAGCTCAGGGTGGATCACAATGTCACCACACATTCTGAGCACAAGTTCAAGAAGCAATAGTTTAAAGTTCACAGTTATGAGCAAAGCTAGAGGCAGTCACAGAGGGCAAGCGAGGAGGAGGAGGGCTGGCGAGAGGAGAGAAGATGAAAGGCGCCGACTGAAGCTGCAGACACACGGGCAACAGGAGCGGCGCGCACAGTGGCTACCGAGCGCACGAGGGCACCGGACTACGGGAGTATCTGGCTCCGCGGCTACGACGAGCACACACAGGAGCAACGGACCCACAGGCGACTGGCGAAGCAGGCTCGCTGGGCTACCGAAACGCGCGAGGGCATCCGGACTACTGGCGCTGCTGGCGTCACGACGGCTACCTCCACGCAATCTCCCCCGACCGTCCCACGCCCCTCTCACACACCCCCTGCTGACACCCTAGCTCCACTCCGACGGTACCCCCCTTAAACCCCAAACCCTAGGCTCCCACACACCACCCCCCTCAGCGGCAGCTGTAGCAGAGGGAGACGAGGGAGGAGGAGGAGCAGGGGGAGGAACTCACAACCGACACCCCCATAGCCGCCACCCCCACACTCTTCACCCCCAAACCCTAATTTAGGAGAACGGGCTGTAGGAGGGGTGAGGCGCCGGTAGAAGCACGGGGGACAGTGGAGAGGGCAGGAGCAGCGAGGAACGGGCCGCCCACGGGCCTGGTAGAGCCGCCCGAACCGCGCGCAGGCGGCCCGAGCCGCGCGCGGGCCTGGCGCTTCCCGTACGGGCCGCGCGCGTGCCTGGCGCAGCCCGTACGGGCCGCGCGCGGGCCTGGCGCAGCCCGTACGGGCCGCGCGCGGGCCTGGCGCAGCCCGTACGGGCCGCGTGCCGGGTGTACGGGCCGCGCGCAGGCCACGACGGGCGACGGGGGGCGACGCGCGGGTCCCCGTCGCCCGTCGCAGCGCCTCCCGGGGGCGACGTGCCGAGTGACGGGGCAGGAACCCGCCGCGCGCCTCGGGGCACACGGCGGGCAGAGAACCGCCGCGCGCCTCGGGGCGCACGGCGGGCAGAAAACCGCCGCGTGCCTCGGGGCGCACGGCGGGCTGAAAACCCTAGTTTCGACGCCGCGCGCCACGGGGCGCGCGGCGGACAGGGAGTAGCAGTAGCAGTAGCAGTAGCAGCGGAAGGCTTAGGTGGTGGGCCCACCCACAGGATCGACCCAGGAGGGTCGACCTGCTCTGATACCATATCAGAATCACTAGGCAAGAATGAATGAAAGGAGAGGGGGTTGAACTAGCAGGCAGTTGAGTACAAATAGCAAACCCTAGATTGGGCTGTACTCACTATAGAGTACCCCACTGCAGGCTAGACAATAATAGCATTCTGACAAAGAGCGCATCCCTCGAAGATTGGGAAGCAATATCACACAAGTGGTGGAGGTGACTGTGCGAAGGCGAGTCTTGAATCTCTGTGAGACGAGTCCAAAAGAGATCGATAATAAGGTCCAGGGAATGCATGGCAAGATGAGCGTCTCGGGCAGGTATGAGGTCGTCTGAGAAGCGGGTCGTGAGGAAGTGCAGGGTGAGATACATGGAAGCGACGTGCCCAGCTAGGTGGTCAGCAGTGCAAGCAGCGATGAAGCTGGCGTTAAGCTAGCGAAGATGAGTAGTAAGGACGGCGATAGTAGAGAAAATAGAGAGAGCAGGGAAGAGGAAGGGCATGATGAGGAGGAAGGGCAGCATAGCAGAGGAGGGGGTGCAGTAGCGAGCAAGAATAGTATCCAGACACTCTTTCACCGTCGCTAGCTGGCGAAAGTGCACTCATTTGATCGGCGGTAGCAAGGCACGTAGTATTGCCATGCAATGTGGCCTCGAAAAAAGCAGTGGGATGCTATGAGTAATGTAGTTCACTCAATACGCGGGCGTATAGGTGGAGAACATCTAGGCGCTAGCTTTGAAGGTGAAGCGAGACTTGGAGCAGCCATGTGTCAAGGTCAATCGCCTGCCCCTCCACACCGAGCCCCAGTACGAACTCGGACGCCATGGCAGGAGTAAGCAGTGGCAAAGATGCAGTAGATGAGAGGGGACGGCCACAAGCGGAGGAGAAAATACATAGATACGAACCCTAAATTGCGGCTGCAGGCGCAGTTCCGGTCAGCAGCTGTAGGTAGGGCAGCGGCGGCTGCAGGTACGGCGGCAGGGCGAGCCGTCAAGTGCACGGCAGGCGCGTGCAACAAGGCATGCCAGGGCGCACAGGCGCATAGTTGGATGCGCAGAAAGGCGCGCGGCACGGCACGGCAGGCTACACGGTAAGGTGTGGCAGGGCGCGCGGCAGGCGTGCAGCAGGACACAAGGAAGGGAGCGACAGGCATGTGGCGGTCGCGGCTTTGCATGGCAGGGCGCGCAGGGGTTGTGGCAAGGCATGGCAGGGTGTACGGCAGGGCGCGCAGGCACGGCCAAACCTCGTTGGGCACGCGGTGGGCGAGGCAGGGTATGGCAGACGCGACACGGTTGTGACGGGGCGCAAGAGCGAGGTGGGGGGGGGGGGGACGGGGTGCTAGAGTTGAGGGGGGGGGGTGGGGAGGCGAGGTGGGGCGCTAGAGGGAGGCCGTTAGAGGAGGCTATTATAATCTGAACTACTACACCCACTTGGACAAAGGGGCTTGTTAAGTAGCTGGTGAGTGCGGCCATAACACTCCAAGCTCTAGACCTGTAACCTTTCACTAGGATCAACCAGGGAACCCAAGCGCATGTTTTCCAACACCCCCTTCACTGGGATGCTGTATGACACGACAGAGTGGCAGCGACACATGTGCACCATCATGTGTGTACATGGGGGTTCGAATATGAGACCTTCGCTCTCATAACTTGTCAGATTCCCAGGCACAACACTACTTGGGTGAAAGGGCATGTTAAGTAGTAGGTGAGTGTGCCCATACTTCCATAGGCTCTGAACATGTGGCCCATCCCTAGGATCAACCCCGAATCCCGAGTGCAAGTTTTTTTAAGAGGACGTTTCGCGCGGGCTGCAGTTTCGTGGGCCCCGATTTCCCGAATCGCTCGTCCGCGCTTTTTCCCCCACACTTTCCGCTTCCGCCTGGACCCCCGACTTGGAGTCAACGACAGTTGACTCCGAGCTGACCACCCCGAACTAGAAACCCTAGCTGAAATATCGATCCCTCCCCCCATCCCTCGGTCGATGCCTTGTGGCAGCCGAACATCGCCCAAGACCTGGAGCTGACGATTTCAGCTGTCTCTCCCATCCTAATAGTCGTTTAATGAATTCGTACGTAACCCGACGTACCATCTTCCCATGATACCTGCGCCGTCAACGTCATTGGCATGGCGTCGATCTATCGTAACCTACTGCATTGGCCGTTCCACATCGAATCTTCGACAACCGCGTCAGAACCTTCATCTCCGCTAGGAAATTTCGTCGCTCAGATAAAACCATGGCATGTTCTCTGTGTCGTCGCCCTCGCCGTGCAAGTGTACCTGTTTCGCAGTTACGAGGTCGGTTGCACGTGTTCCGAGGCGTGCACGCCGGGTCAAGCGACCGGGCGACAAGATCCGTACGTCTCATCCGTTACATCTCAGCCGCGTTTCAATGCGATCGGAAATGCTGTCCCAGAACGGGTTTCTTCTCAGGACGGACCGTTGAGCACATCCAGGCAGAGCGGTCAGGATAATGCTTTTCCATACACCTGGCAGCAGCTGCTGCAGCAGAAAGATCAGGGGGAGCAGGAGCGGGAGCCGCAGCGACAAGTCTTAGTGAATTTCGCGCCGCAACAACTCCCTCAGCAGCAGCGGCAGGAGCAACAGCAACAACAGGAGCAGCAGCAGCAAGTGCAGGAGCAGCAGCAGCGGCAATTTCAAGAGCAGCAGATGCAGGATGGCCTCTTGAATCCGCAAGATGATTCACGTCCTCGGGATTTCACCGGGTAAACTAGATTTCCGCCCACAGACCTTTCACTTGTGTTGGTGGGTGATTCCCATATGAGCCTTATCAGCTTCCCTACTCAACTCCTCTCTCTCTCTCTCTCTCTCTCTCTCTCTCTCTCTCTCTCTCTCTCTCTCTCTCTCTCTCTCTCTCTCCCCCCCCCCCCCCCCCCCCCCCCCCTCTCTTACCTCCGATGTATATGCCCCCATCACAACAGATTGGATGACCCTCAGCTGCACCTAGTGGTGCACGATACATGCAAGTTGGAGAAGCTAGGAGGCAGGAAAAATGACGGCTACGGCGCATGGACGCTCTGCACCAATCACCTGCGGCCAGGTGGCATCGTGTACTCGTTTGGCATCGGAGGCGACGTGTCGTTTGACAACGAGATGGTGAATCGAGGCTACAAGGTACGTCCCCACCCTCGAATCCAAGCTTATACTGGAATACTAGCAAGCAAAGCTGTCGTGTACTCGTTTGGCATTGGAGGCGACGTGTCGTTTGACAATGAGATGGTGAATGGAGGCTACAAGGTACGTTCCACCATCCTCTGTGCTCTACTCCGCCTCCTCCCCCCCTCCCCCCACCTTCTCCCCTTTCGTTCCACACAGAAATACACCAACCCGCGCCCTCCCTTCTTTTTCTAAGTGTCTTTCCTCAAGCCATTGTTCGCCACCTGTCATATTCTTCTCTTGAATGTAGAAGCCATTAGCTTTCCTTCCTCTATTTCTCCAATTGAGTAACCCTTTTCTCGACTCCCTCTCTCCCTTCAGGTTTTTGGTTTCGACCCTACTGTTACCCTGGATCACGTGAGCAACTTATTTAAAAACAACCATGAGCGCGATCAACCCTCCGCCTTCCAATTCTGCCAGGTTGGCATTGGGGCTGTAGACGGCATTATCACCTTCTTCAGTCCCAAGAATCCCCACTTGAAATCTAAGACAGCTGTCAAGCATGAGGAGCTGTCAAAGCGGTACGAGAGCCGAGGCATGCCGGCCCCGGTTATGCGGTTACCAACATTCATGTGCACAAACGGCCATGGGTTCATCGATGTGTTGAAGATAGATGTTGAAGGGGTTGAGTTTGACATATGTGATGAGTGGTTACGGATGGACACTCCGCTCCCGGTTGGTCAAGTGTTGTTAGAGTTTCATGATCGGTTGTTGAAAGATGGCAAGTTACGGAAAAAGGCGTGTCTAGAGGTTATGGCAAGAGAGGGATTCACGGAGGTGTACGTCAGTCGTAGCATGGAAGAAGCCACTTATGCAAGGATTGCTTCTAGGAGGAACTCGTCTTTATTGTCCAGCATTCCATAAAAGCATGACCTTTGGTCGCTCTCATGCCTTCTTGTTCTAACCAAAGGGCTTTTATCCATGTTGCATGGGGCTATTGCTCCCTCCCGTTCATATGGCTTTGCAACCTTGATGGGTTGTGACTGAATGGGAAGGAAACAAATGTTGTAACATCTAGGTGCTTCGCCTGTTACGGCTTCTGCGATTGTCGTGCTGGCGGGACTATCTTTCGTGGAAGGTTTCCTGGTAACCCCAAGTTGCCAAGTCCGTCTGTCGCTGACGTGTGCCCTGTCGCGTGTTTGTTTGAAGGTGGATGGAATGACACGACGAGTTGGTTGGATGAATATGGAACAGCCGCCACTGGACGAGTCATTCAATTCATGATTGGAGCTTGAGGGTCAGCCAATCGCGTAGAAGTAGAGGCATCGACCCATCCTTCCACATCGCACCCCTCTCTCCCGCTACCGACCGACCTCGAGTCCGTGCAGCCCTTCCCTCTCAAACAAATCTTTACCGCTTTGAAACGTACCGCAACGGACGAAACCGTGCTAAGTGAATCAAAACAAATGCACAAGACAGGAGATATTCCCCCACAACAGCTACGTTCCTCCAGGTCCCTCCGCTTCATACGCCATACCCTTCCTCCAGCCCAACAGACAGACCCCCCCCCGCCCCATGTGCTGCCTGCAGCGCAAATATCTCCAGCTGCTGAAGCCTTTCCCACCGCCGCGGAGGCTGGGCATAGGAGAGCTAGCAAGGCCCGTGTTCGTATCCCAATGCGGTAGTTAGCAGCCTTTACTTCTGTTCGAGGTTCAGACTATCCATCCAGTACGCTACTCGTTCCACATTCCTCCTGCATCCACCGTCTGTCCGCCTTTCGATTAGCGACGAGTCCCAATCGCGAACAACATTCTCCTCGCTTATGATCATTCGCCGCATTCTTCAGTCCAGCTCGCTCCCCGCTTGAAAGGCCGTTCGAAACTTGATGCGTTTACATCCCATTTTCCCGTTTTCGAAACCCGTAAATTCGAGCAAACGTTCAATATTCTGTCACCTTTTCTTTGCAGTCAGCGTCTCCGCTTTACTTAGCTGATAACCCTTTTGATCGTCACCGAATTTCGAAGGCGGCCACGGGAATGCTGTATCGAAATAATGAGCTCCCATGGCGCAGTGAACGCTCTCCGGAATTGCTCGTCGTCGCGTAACACACAGCACTCGCATCGTCGCTATTAAATCCCGACTCGCGTACAGGACAAAGTAAACCCGTCTTGCACGAGTCGCCGTGGTTTTTGAGAGTTTTCAAAAACCAGCTTACAACAAAACTCTGCAGCTGAGACGCGCGACGTTCCGTCAACTCCTCGATTATCCAAAGAATAACCTCGGAATTAATGAATAACGTACGACGTTGCAAAAACTTGTAAAGCATCCAGACGTTACCTTGGGATCGCCAGAGTTGCCTATTCAGTGGCGGCTGAGACATATTAGCCTCCAACGTTGCTGCGAACATCTAAGGCGATTTGGGAATTACCTCGGGGTTAGCCGGAGCGGGCTCTTCTCAAGGTCGCGAGACCGCACAATCCGCATCAGTGTGGTTCGGGACTGTTCCGTTTCGTTCTCCGTTTCCGTTTCCATTTCGTTCTCCGTTTCAACGTGAAAAGCTCGGCGTGATCATGGCGAGCGGGGTGAATCTGACGGCGGTGACAGTCATTGCTGCCGTCTCCGCCGTCCTCGCGGCCGGCGTCACCGCGCTGAACATCCCTTCTGGCGTCTTTGGGTGAGTTCTCCCCCGTGGCTTGCGCTTCGTCTCGGGTGCAACGTTCATTGGATCCCCCACACATTATCCTCTTTCCTCTGGCAAAACACATTCCTCCATTTCTCACTTCCTCCCCTTCCCCCTCACCCTCCTCCCCCTTCCCCCCCATTTTCTCTCCACCCCTCTCCCTCAACCCTCACCCCTCCCCCAGCCTGCACCCCTCAACCGTCCCCCCACCCCAGCGTGGCTGAAGAATCCCCACCCCCCGCGTCCCCTCTCCCCCAACCCCTCCCCTTCCAAACCCCAGCCTGCACCCCAAGCCCCACGTGTTGCCATTCTTCTGCACGTGCGATGATGACTCAGCGCTGATAGATGGCAGCCTCACTGAAAAACCCCCACCCTACCTCCTTCTCTCTTCCCCGCCCATCCCCCACTGGCCCCCCTCAACCTCCCCCACCCCTCCCCCCCCCCCCCCCTTCCCCTCCAGCCTGCACCCCAAGCCCCACGTGTTGCCATTCTTCTGCACGTGCGACGATGACTCAGCGCTGATGGAGGACAGCCTGGCGCGCTGCCAGGTGGCAAGCGACTTCCTCATCGCACTAGCCTACCTGTCCATCCCACTCGAGCTCGCATACTTCACGTTCAAAGCCAGGAGCTTCTCACACCGCTGGGTCATGCTGCTCTTCAGCCTCTTCATTGTTCTCTGTGGTACGTGCATGCGTGCCTTGGGATTGGCGCTCCTCTGTGTGATGATGTGTGCTCTGCCTGTCCTCATCGCACTAGCCTACCTGTCCATCCCACTCGAGCTCGCATACTTCACGTTCAAAGCCAGGAGCTTCTCCCACCGCTGGGTCATGCTGCTCTTCAGCCTCTTCATTGTTCTCTGCGGTGAGTTTGCTGTCTCTTGAGGGGCAAGGCAAGCACCCCTCGGGCTGGGGCGGGCCTCTCCTCAGCGGGCTGGCGTGCCTGTCCTGTCCATCCCACTCGAGCTCGCATACTTCACGCTCAAGGCCAGAAGCTTCTCACACCGCTGGGTCATGCTCCTGTTCAGCCTCTTCATCGTCTTGTGTGGTACGGACACGGACACCCCTTGTTCCATGCACTGTGATGTGATGTGTGCTGCTCTGTGACGAGTGACTTCCTCATTGCGCCGGCATACCTGTCCATCCCACTCGAGCTCGCATACTTTACGCTCAGAGCCAGGAGCTTCTCCCACCGCTGGGTCATGCTGCTCTTCAGCCTCTTCATTGTTCTCTGTGATGATGAGTGCGTGCTGCTGCCTTGGGATTGCCGCTTCCCCCTCTTCTTCCCCTACGCGCTGCCGCTTCACTGCCGTGGCTGGATGCAAGGCAGGGTGGCCAACCGTGGGCCCTGGCCTGGCCTGGGTCTGTCCTCCTCTTCGCACGGGTATACCTGTCCATCCAGCGCGAGCTTGCCTCTTCACGCTTCGCACCCGTTGCCCCCCACCGCTTGCCCCTCACCCCTGCCCCCATCAGGTCTGACCCACCTGGTCAACGTGTGGACGTACGGGGCACACCCGAGGCAGCTGAGGAACTCAGCAAATTCCCTCCTCCTTGCCACTCCTCTCTCCCTGCCAGGTCTGACCCACCTGGTCAACGTGTGGACGTACGGGGCACACCCGAGGCAGCTGAGGAACTCAGCAAATTCCCTCCTCCTTGCCACTCCTCTCTCCCTGCCAGGTCTGACCCACCTGGTCAACGTGTGGACGTACGGGGCACACCCGAGGCAGCTGAGGAACTCAGCAAATTCCCTCCTCCTTGCCACTCCTCTCTCCCTGCCAGGTCTGACCCACCTGGTCAACGTGTGGACGTACGGGGCACACCCGAGGCAGCTGAGGAACTCAGCAAATTCCCTCCTCCTTGCCACTCCTCTCTCCCTGCCAGGTCTGACCCACCTGGTCAACGTGTGGACGTACGGGGCTCACCCGCGGCAGCTGAGGAACTCAGCAAATTCCCTCCTCCTTGCCACTCCTCTCTCCCTGCCAGGTCTGACCCACCTGGTCAACGTGTGGACGTACGGGGCACACCCGAGGCAGCTGAGGAACTCAGCAAATTCTCTCCTCCTTGCCACTCCTCTCTCCCTGCCAGGTCTGACCCACCTGGTCAACGTGTGGACGTACGGGGCACACCCGAGGCAGCTGAGGAACTCAGCAAATTCCCTCCTCCTTGCCACTCCTCTCTCCCTGCTAGGTCTGACCCACCTGGTCAACGTGTGGACGTACGGGGCTCACCCGCGGCAGCTGAGGAACTCAGCAAATTCCCTCCTCCTTGCCACTCCTCTCTCCCTGCCAGGTCTGACCCACCTGGTCAACGTGTGGACGTACGGGGCACACCCGAGGCAGCTGAGGAACTCAGCAAATTCCCTCCTCCTTGCCACTCCTCTCTCCCTGCCAGGTCTGACCCACCTGGTCAACGTGTGGACGTACGGGGCTCACCCGCGGCAGCTGAGGAACTCAGCAAATTCCCTCCTCCTTGCCACTCCTCTCTCCCTGCCAGGTCTGACCCACCTGGTCAACGTGTGGACGTACGGGGCACACCCGAGGCAGCTGAGGAACTCAGCAAATTCCCTCCTCCTTGCCACTCCTCTCTCCCTGCCAGGTCTGACCCACCTGGTCAACGTGTGGACGTACGGGGCACACCCGAGGCAGCTGAGGAACTCAGCAAATTCCCTCCTCCTTGCCACTCCTCTCTCCCTGCCAGGTCTGACCCACCTGGTCAACGTGTGGACGTACGGGGCACACCCGCGGCAGCTGAGGAACTCAGCAAATTCCCTCCTCCTTGCCACTCCTCTCTCCCTGCCAGGTCTGACCCACCTGGTCAACGTGTGGACGTACGGGGCTCACCCGCGGCAGCTGAGGAACTCAGAAAATTCCCTCCTCCTTGCCACTCCTCTCTCCCTGCCAGGTCTGACCCACCTGGTCAACGTGTGGACGTACGGGGCACACCCGAGGCAGCTGAGGAACTCAGCAAATTCCCTCCTCCTTGCCACTCCTCTCTCCCTGCCAGGTCTGACCCACCTGGTCAACGTGTGGACGTACGGGGCACACCCGAGGCAGCTGAGGAACTCAGCAAATTCCCTCCTCCTTGCCACTCCTCTCTCCCTGCCAGGTCTGACCCACCTGGTCAACGTGTGGACGTACGGGGCACACCCGAGGCAGCTGAGGAACTCAGCAAATTCCCTCCTCCTTGCCACTCCTCTCTCCCTGCCAGGTCTGACCCACCTGGTCAACGTGTGGACGTACGGGGCACACCCGCGGCAGCTGAGTGTGGTGCAGACGGTGCTCAAGGTGCTCTGTGCCGCCGTGTCATGGGGCACGGCCTTTGTACTCTTCACCATCATCCCCTCGCTCCTCAAGTTCAAGGCAAGTCCCTTTCTGCCTGAATGAAAGTGTATTTTGGGTCGACTCTGGTCCCCAAGTACCCGCGGCAGCTGAGTGTGGTGCAGACGGTGCTCAAGGTGTTCACTGCAGCTGTTTCCTGGGGCACAGCCTTTGTGCTCTTCACCATCATCCCCTCGCTGCTCAAGTTCAAGGCGAGTGCTTATGCGTGTCTTTTTGAGTTGACCCAGGAGGTGCCGCTGTTGCACCCTGGGGCACTGCCTTTGTGCTCTTCGCCATCATCCCCTCGCTGCTCAAGTTCAAGGCGAGTGCATTTCTTCATCCAAGGGCATTTTGAGTCGAGTCACAAGGTGAGTGCCACAACACCCGCGGCAGCTGAGTGTGGTGCAGACGGTGCTCAAGGTGCTCTGTGCGGCCGTGTCGTGGGGCACTGCCTTTGTGCTCTTCACCATCATCCCCTCGCTGCTCAAATTCAAGGCAAGTCCCTTTCTTTAAACATGCGTGTCCTTTTGAGTTGACCCATGAGGTGCCGCTGTTGCACCCTGGGGCACAGCCTTTGTGCTCTTCACCATCATCCCCTCGCTGCTCAAGTTCAAGGCAAGTGCCTGTCTCCTTCCGAGGGTGTGGTGTACAGGCTTCTTCAGGGTCCCCCTCCATGTCCATCTCACATGCCTGCTTCTGGCACTTGTCAAAACTCATGGGTCCATCCGGCTGTCCATCTCACGTTTCTCATTATCTCATCCCCCCCGGCCCCCTCCCTTCCCCCATGAACGCCTGGCAGGTGCGGGAGCTTTCGCTGCAGCACAAGGCTGCGCAGTTGGATCGGGAAATGGATGCCATTCGGAGAAGAGAGGAGGTGAGGCCGAGTGGGGGGTTGGTTCGGTTAGGTTGGAAGACAATGCGCCTCAAAAGCAGTTGGATCGGGAGATGGATGCCATTCGGAGAAGGGAGGAGGTGAGGCAAAATGGGGGGTTGGTTTGGTTAGGTTGGAAGACAATGCGCCTCAGAGGCAGTTGGATCGGGAGATGGATGCCATTCGGAGAAGGGAGGAGGTGAGGCAAAGTGGGGGGTTGATATGGTTGGGCAGGAAGGTGGGAGTTTCCTTTCTAGACGCCTCAGAAACAGTTGGGACAGGAGATGGATGAGGCTAGGGAATGAGAGGCCTCTTGTTGGAGTGTATGAGGAACATGCATTTTTCAAATTGAAACGCCATAACAACCATTTTCTGTACTTTACTTACGCTCTTCCCACAACATCTTCCCTACTTCCCCCCTTTCTCTCTATTCCCTTCTTTCTCCCCCCAGGTGGGGGGCATGTGCACATGCCGACATACGAGACCCTCAACACCATCCTTAAAGAAGCTCGCCCAGGCCCTGAAGCGTCTCATTTTCCCCTCTCCATCCATCCCCCTTTCCTTCCCCTCTACCTGCATCTCTCTCCCTTTTTCCTCTCTCTCCCACCCACCTTTCCCTCAATCTCCCCACAGGTGGGGCGGCATGTGCGCATGCTGACATACGAGATCCGCCAGTCGTTGGACCGACACACCATCCTCAACACCACGCTAGTGGAGCTCGCCCAGGCGCTCATGCTCGAGAACTGCACCGTGTGGATGCCCGACCCTTGTGAGTGTGTGTGTGTGTGTGTGTGTGTGTGTGAGAGAGAGAGAGAGAGTGTGTGTGTGTGTGTGTGTGTGTGAGTGTGTGTGTGTGTGTGTGAGTGTGTGTGTGTGTGTGTGTGTGTGTGTGTGTGTGAGTGTGTGTGTGTGTGTGTGTGTGTGTGTGTGTGAGTGTGTGTGTGTGTGCACGCGCGCGCGCATACATTTGCTGCCTGATGGTGTGAGCGGCTGCCCGTGAGTGCGCTGATGGATGATGCGAGAAGCCACCATACCATCCTCAACACCACGCTAGTGGAGCTCGCCCAGGCGCTCATGCTTGAGAACTGCACCGTGTGGATGCCAGATCCATGTGAGTGCTTGGATATATGTGAGCGAGTGCCCTCGCCCCCTGTGGGTGCTGATGTGTGAGCAGCCTCATAGCTCGCCCACGCGCTCATGCTAAAAAACTGCACCGTGTGGATGCCCGACCCTTGTGAGTGCCCCCGCACTGCACCCTGTGAGTGCTGATGTGTGAGCAGCCTCATAGCTCGCCCAGGCGCCTAAGCTTGAGAACTGTGCCGTGTTGATGGCTGACCTTTGTGAGTGTGTGTGTGCACACATTTGCGCCTCTGTGGATGCTAAATCTTCGTAAGAGCGTCCATACACGTGAGTGCGCTGCCTGGATGCATGGATTTTCTCCCTTTCGTATACGTGCCGCCGTTTCAGCCTGTTTCTCTCTCCGCTTCTTCCCTGTTTCTCCACACGGATCATCCCCACCCTGCCTAACCATCCCCCAATCGTCCCCCACGTTTCCTATCCCACCACCCCTCCTCCCATGTGTTTTTGCATTACTTGCTGCCTGCAGCGGGGCAGTACCTGTAGCTGACTCACGAGCTGGAATAAAGGCTGTTTTTTCTTAGCCGACTTAAAGCCTTCCCCACCTAAGCATCCCCTAGTCACCCCGTTACCTTCCACCTCCCTTCCTCCCGCCTGTTTTTGCATGACTTGCTGCCTGCAGCGGGAGAGTGCTTGGAGCTAACTCACGAGCTGGAGAGAAGGCTGGTGCAGGTGAGACTCACAATACCCCCTCTCGCCTCTTCCTCCTCCCACCACTCTTCCCCCTTCCCCCTGCCGCAACCCCCCTCTCCCCTCCAATCCACTTCTAGTATTTAGTGCTTGCTTGCATGTCTACCGTCTCATCTACTGTCTGAACTTCAACTCTCAGGTGCCCGTTTCCCCTGCACACTGATTTCGAGACTTCTCAAACCCCCTCCAAACATTCCAAACCACCCTCCCCTGCCCACCCTCCCAGGTGCCCATTTGCGTGCACATATCAGACCCGAGCGTCCAATCAGTAATCGCCACGTCAAACCCGTGCCTCATCTCCCGATCCTCCTTCATTGGCTCGGCGTCCACGCCCCGAGGGGCGCATGCGAACGCCATGGCAGGTGGGTGACCGCTGGGGCATGGGTGGAGTCATGGGTGGAGTCATGCCCATGAGAATTGCTTTGAATCCAGACTCATAGCGGAATAGCTGCAAAGCCTGAATACAAGTTTTGAGGCGCCTCAAAACGCCATGGCTGGCAGGTGACCGTTGGTCCATGGGTGGAGTCATGCCCATGAGAATCCCTTTGAATCCAGACTCATACAGCAAAATAGCTGCAACGCTTGAAGAAACTCTCCCCTCTCCCCACGTTTCAGTAGCAGCTTTTGGAATTCACATAATGCTGCTTCCGCCTCTCCTCTCCCTGCTCCGCCGTCTCCCCTCGCAAGGAGGGTTGGCTCAAGTAGCGCCACATTTCCTGAGGCGCCTCAATTAAGGGTTTTTGAGGCGCCTCAAAACAGGGTGGTGGTGAGTTGTCGGTATCAACGACAATCCGATCCTTCCCCCCTTCAGCTGTTCGTCTCGCAATCCACATCCCCACACACTCCCGTGCATCACGAACCATGCAGCAAGTGTTGTGTTGTCTGGATCTCTGAATTGATCCCTCCCCCCCTCCTCCCTCCCTCCTCCCACCTCTCCCACCAGCCGTTCGTCTCGCAATCCACATCCCCACACACTCCCGGACACACTCCCGTGCATCACGAACCAGCCAGCAAGGGGACGATGGTGCTGCTGCTGCGGCTAGTTCTGCTGCTGCTGGTGGTGCTGCTGGTGGTGGCAATAATGGTGCGGATAGTGACGGGTTTGCTGGTAGCGAGGCTGCTGATATGGAGTACGGTTCGGTTGTGGAGTATGGGCTCATGGTGCTCGTGCTGCATGGGGACGAGAAGAGGTGAGGATAAAGGGGGGGAAGGGAGGGGAGGGGAGGGGAGGGGAGGGGAGGGGAGGGGAGGGGAGGGGAGGGGAGGACGGGAGTGGTTTGAGTACGGGTCGGTTGTGGAGTATGGGCTCATGGTGCTCGTGCTGCACGGGGACGAGAAGAGGTGAGGAGAGGGGGTAGTCTTTTTTAGTCAAGTCAAAGGTTGCCTCGGCAAAATGTGATATGGAGTACGGTTCGGTTGTGGAGTATGGGCTCATGGTGCTCGTGCTGCATGGCGATGAGAAGCGGTGAGGATAAAGGGGGGGAAGGGAGGGGACAGGAGGGGAGGGGAGGGGGAGGGAGGGGAGGACGGGAGTGGTTTGAGTACTTGGTCCCCGAGAGCGCGCCTTGCTCCACGAGAGCGCGCCTTGGTCCACGAGAGCGCGCCTTGGTCCACGAGAGCGCGCCTTGGTCCACGAGAGCGCGCCTTGGTCCACGAGAGCGCGCCTTGGTCCACGAGAGCGCGCCTTGGTCCACGAGAGCGCGCCTTGGTCCACGAGAGCGCGCCTTGGTCCACGAGAGCGCGCCTTGGTCCACGAGCGCGCCTTGGTCCACGAGAGCGCGCCTTGGTCCACGAGAGCGCGCCTTGGTCCACGAGAGCGCGCCTTGGTCCACGAGAGCGCGCCTTGGTCCACGAGAGCGCGCCTTGGTCCACGAGAGCGCGCCTTGGTCCACGAGAGCGCGCCTTGGTCCACGAGAGCGCGCCTTGGTCCACGAGAGCGCGCCTTGGTCCACGAGAGCGCGCCTTGGTCCACGAGAGCGCGCCTTGGTCCACGAGAGCGCGCCTTGGTCCACGAGAGCGCGCCTTGGTCCACGAGCGCGCCTTGGTCCACGAGAGCGCGCCTTGGTCCACGAGAGCGCGCCTTGGTCCACGAGCGCGCCTTGGTCCACGAGCGCGCCTTGGTCCACGAGAGCGCGCCTTGGTCCACGAGAGCGCGCCTTGGTCCACGAGAGCGCGCCTTGGTCCACGAGAGCGCGCCTTGGTCCACGAGAGCGCGCCTTGGTCCACGAGAGCGCGCCTTGGTCCACGAGAGCGCGCCTTGGTCCACGAGAGCGCGCCTTGGTCCACGAGCGCGCCTTGGTCCACGAGAGCGCGCCTTGGTCCACGAGAGCGCGCCTTGGTCCACGAGAGCGCGCCTTGGTCCACGAGAGCGCGCCTTGGTCCACGAGAGCGCGCCTTGGTCCACGAGAGCGCGCCTTGGTCCACGAGAGCGCGCCTTGGTCCACGAGAGCGCGCCTTGTTCTACGAGAGCGCGCCTTGGTCCACGAGAGCGCTCCTTGATCCACGAGCGCGCCTTGGTCCACGAGCGCGCCTTGGTCCACGAGAGCGCGCCTTGGTCCACGAGAGCGCGCCTTGGTCCACGAGAGCGCGCCTTGGTCCACGAGAGCGCGCCTTGGTCCACGAGAGCGCGCCTTGGTCCACGAGAGCGCGCCTTGGTCCACGAGAGCGCGCCTTGGTCCACGAGAGCGCGCCTTGGTCCACGAGAGCGCGCCTTGGTCCACGAGCGCGCCTTGGTCCACGAGCGCGCCTTGGTCCACGAGAGCGCGCCTTGGTCCACGAGAGCGCGCCTTGGTCCACGAGAGCGCGCCTTGGTCCACGAGAGCGCGCCTTGGTCCACGAGAGCGCGCCTTGGTCCACGAGCCAGCGCCTTGGTCCACGAGCCAGCGCCTTGGTCCACGAGCGCGCCTTGGTCCACGAGAGCGCGCCTTGGTCCACGAGAGCGCGCCTTGGTCCACGAGAGCGCGCCTTGGTCCACGAGAGCGCGCCTTGGTCCACGAGCGCGCCTTGGTCCACGAGAGCGCGCCTTGGTCCACGAGAGCGCGCCTTGGTCCACGAGCGCGCCTTGGTCCACGAGCGCGCCTTGGTCCACGAGCGCGCGCCTTGTTCCACGAGCGCGCCTTGGTCCACGAGCGCGCCTTGGTCCACGAGAGCGCGCCTTGGTCCACGAGAGCGCGCCTTGGTCCACGAGAGCGCGCCTTGGTCCACGAGAGCGCGCCTTGGTCCACGAGCGCGCCTTGGTCCACGAGCGCGCCTTGGTCCACGAGCGCGCGCCTTGTTCCACGAGCGCGCCTTGGTCCACGAGCGCGCCTTGGTCCACGAGAGCGCGCCTTGGTCCACGAGAGCGCGCCTTGGTCCACGAGAGCGCGCCTTGGTCCACGAGAGCGCGCCTTGGTCCACGAGAGCGCGCCTTGGTCCACGAGAGCGCGCCTTGGTCCACGAGAGCGCGCCTTGGTCCACGAGAGCGCGCCTTGGTCCACGAGCGCGCCTTGGTCCACGAGCGCGCCTTGGTCCACGAGCGCGCCTTGGTCCACGAGCGCGCCTTGGTCCACGAGAGCGCGCCTTGGTCCACGAGAGCGCGCCTTGGTCCACACGCGCGCCTTGGTCCACGCGCGCGCCTTGGTCCACGAGCGCGCCTTGGTCCACGAGCGCGCCTTGGTCCACGAGCGCGCCTTGGTCCACGAGCGCGCCTTGGTCCACGAGAGCGCGCCTTGGTCCACGAGAGCGCGCCTTGGTCCACGAGCGCGCCTTGGTCCACGAGCGCGCCTTGGTCCACGAGCGCGCCTTGGTCCACGAGCGCGCCTTGGTCCACGAGCGCGCCTTGGTCCACGAGCGCGCCTTGGTCCACGAGCGCGCCTTGGTCCACACGCGCGCCTTGGTCCACGCGCGCGCCTTGGTCCACGAGCGCGCCTTGGTCCACGAGCGCGCCTTGGTCCACGAGCGCGCCTTGGTCCACGAGCGCGCCTTGGTCCACGAGCGCGCCTTGGTCCACGAGCGCGCCTTGGTCCACACGCGCGCCTTGGTCCACGCGCGCGCCTTGGTCCACGCGCGCGCCTTGGTCCACGCGCGCGCCTTGGTCCACGAGCGCGCCTTGGTCCACGAGCGCGCCTTGGTCCACGAGCGCGCCTTGGTCCACGAGCGCGCCTTGGTCCACGAGCGCGCCTTGGTCCACGAGAGTGCGCCTTGGTCCACGAGAGCGCGCCTTGGTCCACGAGAGCGCGCCTTGGTCCACGAGAGCGCGCCTTGGTCCACGAGAGCGCGCCTTGGTCCACGAGAGCGCGCCTTGGTCCACGAGAGCGCGCCTTGGTCCACGAGAGCGCGCCTTGGTCCACGAGCGCGCCTTGGTCCACGAGCGCGCCTTGGTCCACGAGCGCGCCTTGGTCCACGAGCGCGCCTTGGTCCACGAGCGCGCCTTGGTCCACGAGCGCGCCTTGGTCCACGAGAGCGCGCCTTGGTCCACGAGAGCGCGCCTTGGTCCACGAGAGCGCGCCTTGGTCCACGAGAGCGCGCCTTGGTCCACGAGAGCGCGCCTTGGTCCACGAGAGCGCGCCTTGGTCCACGAGCGCGCCTTGGTCCACGAGCGCGCCTTGGTCCACGAGCGCGCCTTGGTCCACGAGCGCGCGCCTTGTTCCACGAGCGCGCGCCTTGGTCCACGAGTGCGCGCCTTGGTCCACGAGCGCGCCTTGGTCCACGAGAGCGCGCCTTGGTCCACGAGAGCGCGCCTTGGTCCACGAGAGCGCGCCTTGGTCCACGAGAGCGCGCCTTGGTCCACGAGAGCGCGCCTTGGTCCACGAGAGCGCGCCTTGGTCCACGAGAGCGCGCCTTGGTCCACGAGAGCGCGCCTTGGTCCACGAGAGCGCGCCTTGGTCCACGAGAGCGCGCCTTGGTCCACGAGAGCGCGCCTTGGTCCACGAGAGCGCGCCTTGGTCCACGAGAGCGCGCCTTGGTCCACGAGAGCGCTCCTTGATCCACGAGCGCGCCTTGGTCCACGAGCGCGCCTTGGTCCACGAGAGCGCGCCTTGGTCCACGAGAGCGCGCCTTGGTCCACGAGAGCGCGCCTTGGTCCACGAGAGCGCGCCTTGGTCCACGAGAGCGCGCCTTGGTCCACGAGAGCGCGCCTTGGTCCACGAGAGCGCGCCTTGGTCCACGAGAGCGCGCCTTGGTCCACGAGAGCGCGCCTTGGTCCACGAGCGCGCCTTGGTCCACGAGAGCGCGCCTTGGTCCACGAGAGCGCGCCTTGGTCCACGAGAGCGCGCCTTGGTCCACGAGAGCGCGCCTTGGTCCACGAGAGCGCGCCTTGGTCCACGAGAGCGCGCCTTGGTCCACGAGCCAGCGCCTTGGTCCACGAGCCAGCGCCTTGGTCCACGAGCGCGCCTTGGTCCACGAGAGCGCGCCTTGGTCCACGAGAGCGCGCCTTGGTCCACGAGAGCGCGCCTTGGTCCACGAGAGCGCGCCTTGGTCCACGAGCGCGCCTTGGTCCACGAGAGCGCGCCTTGGTCCACGAGAGCGCGCCTTGGTCCACGAGCGCGCCTTGGTCCACGAGCGCGCCTTGGTCCACGAGCGCGCGCCTTGTTCCACGAGCGCGCCTTGGTCCACGAGCGCGCCTTGGTCCACGAGAGCGCGCCTTGGTCCACGAGAGCGCGCCTTGGTCCACGAGAGCGCGCCTTGGTCCACGAGAGCGCGCCTTGGTCCACGAGCGCGCCTTGGTCCACGAGCGCGCCTTGGTCCACGAGCGCGCGCCTTGTTCCACGAGCGCGCCTTGGTCCACGAGCGCGCCTTGGTCCACGAGAGCGCGCCTTGGTCCACGAGAGCGCGCCTTGGTCCACGAGAGCGCGCCTTGGTCCACGAGAGCGCGCCTTGGTCCACGAGAGCGCGCCTTGGTCCACGAGAGCGCGCCTTGGTCCACGAGAGCGCGCCTTGGTCCACGAGCGCGCCTTGGTCCACGAGCGCGCCTTGGTCCACGAGCGCGCCTTGGTCCACGAGCGCGCCTTGGTCCACGAGAGCGCGCCTTGGTCCACGAGAGCGCGCCTTGGTCCACGAGCGCGCCTTGGTCCACGAGCGCGCCTTGGTCCACGAGCGCGCCTTGGTCCACGAGCGCGCCTTGGTCCACGAGCGCGCCTTGGTCCACGAGCGCGCCTTGGTCCACGAGCGCGCCTTGGTCCACACGCGCGCCTTGGTCCACGCGCGCGCCTTGGTCCACGAGCGCGCCTTGGTCCACGAGCGCGCCTTGGTCCACGAGCGCGCCTTGGTCCACGAGCGCGCCTTGGTCCACGAGAGCGCGCCTTGGTCCACGAGAGCGCGCCTTGGTCCACGAGCGCGCCTTGGTCCACGAGCGCGCCTTGGTCCACGAGCGCGCCTTGGTCCACGAGCGCGCCTTGGTCCACGAGCGCGCCTTGGTCCACGAGCGCGCCTTGGTCCATGCGCGCGCCTTGGTCCACACGCGCGCCTTGGTCCACGCGCGCCTTGGTCCACGAGCGCGCCTTGGTCCACGAGCGCGCCTTGGTCCACGAGCGCGCCTTGGTCCACGAGCGCGCCTTGGTCCACGAGCGCGCCTTGGTCCACGAGCGCGCCTTGGTCCACGAGCGCGCCTTGGTCCACACGCGCGCCTTGGTCCACGCGCGCGCCTTGGTCCACGCGCGCGCCTTGGTCCACGCGCGCGCCTTGGTCCACGAGCGCGCCTTGGTCCACGAGCGCGCCTTGGTCCACGAGCGCGCCTTGGTCCACGAGCGCGCCTTGGTCCACGAGCGCGCCTTGGTCCACGAGAGTGCGCCTTGGTCCACGAGAGCGCGCCTTGGTCCACGAGAGCGCGCCTTGGTCCACGAGAGCGCGCCTTGGTCCACGAGAGCGCGCCTTGGTCCACGAGAGCGCGCCTTGGTCCACGAGAGCGCGCCTTGGTCCACGAGAGCGCGCCTTGGTCCACGAGCGCGCCTTGGTCCACGAGCGCGCCTTGGTCCACGAGCGCGCCTTGGTCCACGAGCGCGCCTTGGTCCACACGCGCGCGCCTTGGTCCACGAGCGCGCCTTGGTCCACGAGAGCGCGCCTTGGTCCACGAGAGCGCGCCTTGGTCCACGAGAGCGCGCCTTGGTCCACGAGAGCGCGCCTTGGTCCACGAGAGCGCGCCTTGGTCCACGAGAGCGCGCCTTGGTCCACGAGCGCGCCTTGGTCCACGAGCGCGCCTTGGTCCACGAGCGCGCCTTGGTCCACGAGCGCGCGCCTTGTTCCACGAGCGCGCGCCTTGGTCCACGAGCGCGCCTTGGTCCACGAGCGCGCCTTGGTCCACGAGAGCGCGCCTTGGTCCACGAGAGCGCGCCTTGGTCCACGAGAGCGCGCCTTGGTCCACGAGAGCGCGCCTTGGTCCACGAGAGCGCGCCTTGGTCCACGAGAGCGCGCCTTGGTCCACGAGAGCGCGCCTTGGTCCACGAGAGCGCGCCTTGGTCCACGAGCGCGCCTTGGTCCACGAGCGCGCCTTGGTCCACGAGCGCGCGCCTTGTTCCACGAGCGCGCCTTGGTCCACGAGCGCGCCTTGGTCCACGAGAGCGCGCCTTGGTCCACGAGAGCGCGCCTTGGTCCACGAGAGCGCGCCTTGGTCCACGAGAGCGCGCCTTGGTCCACGAGAGCGCGCCTTGGTCCACGAGAGCGCGCCTTGGTCCACGAGAGCGCGCCTTGGTCCACGAGCGCGCCTTGGTCCACGAGCGCGCCTTGGTCCACGAGAGCGCGCCTTGGTCCACGAGAGCGCGCCTTGGTCCACGAGCGCGCCTTGGTCCACGAGTGCGCCTTGGTCCACGAGCGCGCGCCTTGTTCCACGAGCGCGCCTTGGTCCACGAGAGCGCGCCTTGGTCCACGAGCGCGCCTTGGTCCACGAGCGCGCCTTGGTCCACGAGCGCGCCTTGGTCCACGAGAGCGCGCCTTGGTCCACGAGAGCGCGCCTTGGTCCACGAGCGCGCCTTGGTCCACGAGCGCGCCTTGGTCCACGAGCGCGCCTTGGTCCACGAGCGCGCCTTGGTCCACGAGCGCGCCTTGGTCCACGAGCGCGCCTTGGTCCACACGCGCGCCTTGGTCCACGCGCGCGCCTTGGTCCACGAGCGCGCCTTGGTCCACGAGCGCGCCTTGGTCCACGAGCGCGCCTTGGTCCACGAGCGCGCCTTGGTCCACGAGCGCGCCTTGGTCCACGAGCGCGCCTTGGTCCACGAGCGCGCCTTGGTCCACGAGCGCGCCTTGGTCGACACGCGCGCCTTGGTCCACGCGCGCGCCTTGGTCCACGCGCGCGCCTTGGTCCACACGCGCGCCTTGGTCCACGCGCGCGCCTTGGTCCACGAGCGCGCCTTGGTCCACGAGCGCGCCTTGGTCCACGAGCGCGCCTTGGTCCACGAGCGCGCCTTGGTCCACGAGCCAGCACCTTGGTCCACGCGCGCGCCTTGGTCCACGCGCGCGCCTTGGTCCACGCGCGCGCCTTGGTCCACGAGCGCGCCTTGGTCCACGAGCGCGCCTTGGTCCACGAGCGCGCCTTGGTCCACGAGCGCGCCTTGGTCCACGAGCGCGCCTTGGTCCACGAGCGCGCCTTGGTCCACGAGCCAGCACCTTGGTCCACGAGCGCGCCTTGGTCCACGAGCGCGCCTTGGTCCACGAGCCAGCACCTTGGTCCACGCGCGCGCCTTGGTCCACGCGCGCGCCTTGGTCCACGCGCGCGCCTTGGTCCACGAGCGCGCCTTGGTCCACGAGCGCGCCTTGGTCCACGAGCGCGCCTTGGTCCACGAGCGCGCCTTGGTCCACGAGCGCGCCTTGGTCCACGAGCGCGCCTTGGTCCACGAGCCAGCACCTTGGTCCACGCGCGCGCCTTGGTCCACGCGCGCGCCTTGGTCCACGAGCGCGCCTTGGTCCACGAGCGCGCCTTGGTCCACGAGCGCGCCTTGGTCCACGAGCGCGCCTTGGTCCACGAGCGCGCCTTGGTCCACGAGCGCGCCTTGGTCCACGAGCCAGCACCTTGGTCCACGCGCGCGCCTTGGTCCACGCGCGCGCCTTGGTCCACGAGCGCGCCTTGGTCCACGAGCGCGCCTTGGTCCACGAGCGCGCCTTGGTCCACGAGCGCGCCTTGGTCCACGAGCGCGCCTTGGTCCACGAGCCAGCACCTTGGTCCACGCGCGCGCCTTGGTCCACGCGCGCGCCTTGGTCCACGCGCGCGCCTTGGTCCACGAGCGCGCCTTGGTCCACGAGCGCGCCTTGGTCCACGAGCGCGCCTTGGTCCACGAGCGCGCCTTGGTCCACGAGCCAGCACCTTGGTCCACGCGCGCGCCTTGGTCCACGCGCGCGCCTTGGTCCACGAGCGCGCCTTGGTCCACGAGCGCGCCTTGGTCCACGAGCGCGCCTTGGTCCACGAGCGCGCCTTGGTCCACGAGCGCGCCTTGGTCCACGAGCCAGCACCTTGGTCCACGAGAGCGCGCCTTGGTCCACGAGCGCGCCTTGGTCCACGAGAGCGCGCCTTGGTCCACGAGCGCGCCTTGGTCCACGAGAGCGCGCCTTGGTCCACGAGCCAGCGCCTTGGTCCACGAGCGCGCCTTGGTCCACGAGCGCGCCTTGGTCCACGAGCGCGCCTTGGTCCACGAGCGCGCCTTGGTCCACGAGCGCGCCTTGGTCCACGAGCCAGCACCTTGGTCCACGCGCGCGCCTTGGTCCACGCGCGCGCCTTGGTCCACGAGCGCGCCTTGGTCCACGAGCGCGCCTTGGTCCACGAGCGCGCCTTGGTCCACGAGCGCGCCTTGGTCCACGAGCGCGCCTTGGTCCACGAGCGCGCCTTGGTCCACGAGCGCGCCTTGGTCCACGAGCGCGCCTTGGTCCACGAGCCAGCACCTTGGTCCACGAGAGCGCGCCTTGGTCCACGAGCGCGCCTTGGTCCACGAGCGCGCCTTGGTCCACGAGCGCGCCTTGGTCCACGAGCGCGCCTTGGTCCACGAGCGCGCCTTGGTCCACGAGCGCGCCTTGGTCCACGAGCGCGCCTTGGTCCACGAGCGCGCCTTGGTCCACGAGCCAGCACCTTGGTCCACGAGAGCGCGCCTTGGTCCACGAGCGCGCCTTGGTCCACGAGAGCGCGCCTTGGTCCACGAGCGCGCCTTGGTCCACGAGAGCGCGCCTTGGTCCACGAGCCAGCGCCTTGGTCCACGAGCGCGCCTTGGTCCACGAGCGCGCCTTGGTCCACGAGCGCGCCTTGGTCCACGAGCGCGCCTTGGTCCACGAGCGCGCCTTGGTCCACGAGCGCGCCTTGGTCCACGAGCGCGCCTTGGTGAAGATGGTGGAAGCAGTTTCAGACTCACTATCGCCTTTCTGTCACTCTGTGTCCCCCCTCTTTCCCCCCCTGCCCTTCACAATCCCCATTCTTGTCTCCCCCCACCCAGGCAGTGGCAGCCTCACGAGGTGGAGATGGTGGAAGCAGTGGCAGACCAGGTGGCCATTGCGCTCTCACATGCTGCAGCACTGGAGGAGTCGCAGGTAAGAAACCAGGACCAATGAGTTCCTGCATCTCCTCCCTCCCTCCTCTTATGCAAATGATCCATGAAGGTGCTGCGGATCGCTTCTGAGAATTCTCAAAAGAGGCTCTAATTTAGCCGGCCACAGCTTAGCAGCCGTCCTTTTCCTTTTTCAGAGCTGTATTAGTGTCGGATTTAACCGGTGGCAGAACAATTAGCCATGGTGTAGTTTTGAGGCGCCTCAAGTCGAGGCTCTAGTATAGGCGGTCACAGGGTAGCAGCCGTCCTTCTCCTTTTTCAGAGCTGTGTTAGTGTTGGTTTGAACCGGTGGCAGAACAATTAGCCTTGGTGCTCTCCCGTTCTAACGCAACAGTCCTCTCCCCATTCCCCACCAAAACACACCCCTCCCCACTCACCCACGCCCCTTCCCACTGCTCCACACAGAGGCGCAGGGAGGAGATGGCGGAGCAGAATGCAGCGCTGCAGGTGGCGCGGGTGCGAGCAGAGGAGGAGAGTTCCTTTTCAACATGCCGTCTCCCCGAACAACACCACTCCTCACCCCTTTGCACCCCCGCACACAGAGGCGCAGGGAGGAGATGGCGGAGCAGAATGCAGCGCTGCAGGTGGCGCGGGTGCGAGCAGAGGAGGAGAGTTCCTTTTCAACATGCCGTCTCCCCGAACAACACCACTCCTCACCCCTTTGCACCCCCGCACACAGAGGCGCAGGGAGGAGATGGCGGAGCAGAATGCAGCCCTGCAGGTGGCGCGGGTGCGAGCAGAGGAGGCAATTCAAGCGAGAGAACGACTTCCTGTCCGTTATGAACCATGAGATGAGGAGCCCCCTGCACACCATCCTCGCACTCTCCTCCCTCATGGAGGTATGTGTGTGTGTGGTAGTACTCACAGGTCCAACCAGCATGCACACCCTAAACCGAGCAGAATACTCTGAACCAGCTTTTGAATCGACTTCCTGTCCGTCATGAACCACGAGATGAGGAGCCCCCTGCACACCATCCTCGCCCTCTCCTCCCTCATGGAGGTGTGTGCACGTGCTGCCACTCATAGATCCAACCCACATGCATGCATGCTTGCTCCCTACACCCACCACAAAGCTCTATATCAGCCCCTCCACCCACCTTTCTGTCGGAGGAGGCAATTCAAGCAAGAAACGACTTCCTGTCCGTCATGAACCATGAGATGAGGAGCCCCCTGCACACCAACCTCGCACTCTCCTCCCTCATGGAGGTGCGTGCGTGTCACGGTTCTTGTGATTGTGGCTCATGGCCCCACCACCCTGCACATAGCTCGACATGATAGAATTCAAGAATGGTTGAGTAATGAGCCAAGGAGGCTCTATAGTACAAGCATGCAAGGAAGAGAGGTTGGAAGAAGGTGCAACCCTATTGGCCACTAAGTTGGCCAATGGGTGAGTTGCCTTGTGGAGTAGGGAACCCCACAATGTTGCTAGCTTGTGATTGGTTGGCCTTAGGACCAAATGTTGGCAAGTGCCAACCAAGGACCAAGACCAAACCAAATCTTGACCCAACCACAAAGTGTGGTTGGAGTGTACACCCAACCCCCCAATGGCTTAAAGAGCTACACCTATTCTAGCCTATGTATGTTGTATATATAAGATACATTTACAACACAACCCCCCAACATGCATAAGGCTAGAAAAAATGTAATCAGGAGGCCGTGGACAAGAAGACACCGAGCCGTTTTGGTGATCTCCCGAACACGGCTCTCAGCGACACCGTTCTGCTGTGGGGAGTGAGGGAGGGTGTGAGTCTGGAGAATGCCGCGGGACTGGCAGTAGGAGGAAATTTGGGTATTAAGGAACTCACCACCACCATCAGAGTGGAGGCGACGAACAGGGCGGCCAAAGTGGGTGTTGGCTTGCTCGAGCCAAGCAATGATCGCGGTCGGGGCATCCGCCTTCGTCCGAAGGAGAGAGACGGACGAGTACCGACTGTGGTCATCGACGAGCACGAGGAGGTAGCGATGGCCTTGGCGAGTGGGGGAAGGGTTAGGGCCCCAGAGGTCCATGTGAACAAGATCAAGTGGCTGAGCAGCAGCGGAGGGGGAGCTCCGGTGCGGCTGCTGCTTGAGCTTGCTCTGAACGCAGACGACGCAAGGGGGGGCAGGGGACTTGGGAGGGGAGGGAGGGAAGAGGGGAGACCGTGGAGGAGACCGGAGGATACAGAGGAGCGCAGAGTGGCGAAGTTGGGGTGACCTAGCCTGTGATGGAGGAGGATGGCAGGGTGGGAGAGGGAGCGACATGAGCAGTCAGAGTCAGGGGGGCGGGGGGGGATGGGTGGGTTAGTGGAGGGGAGGGGAGGGGGGGGGGGGGGAAGAGGGGGGGGAGGCAACTTGGAAGGTGAGGGGGCGAGGAACTCGAAGGGTGTATAGACGGGTGCGGGGACAGTAAGGAATACGGGCGAGGAAACGACCTGTGGAGGTGTGGTAGAGATCACAATGGTTAGCACCACCTGGGGTGAGAGTGGTGATCATGGATTGTTGGAGGGACCTTTGGGAGAGGAGGTTGGTGCGAAGGGAGGGAATGTGAAGACCTGTGACAGTACCTGAGGGAAAGAGAGGACAGGGAAGGGTGGAGGTGTTGTGACAGGGGATGGAAAAGCTGCTATCAGCGCCAAGGAGGGACGTGGATGTGGGAAGAGGATTGAGTTTGCCGGCATCTCGAAAGACATTATCAGTGGCTCCACTGTCCAAGACGAACTCAAGGGTGGAGGAGGGTGAGGCGGAATACTGAATTGAGGTTTCATTAATAGCAGGGGCATACATAGGAGATGCAACAGAAGGAGGCTGACTAAGGAGACCAACAAAGCCAGAGGAGGGAAAGGGGGTCACACTGCCACCTGTGGACGGCGCAGGGGATGGACCGGAGAGGTGGGCCGCAGAGGCGGCATTTCCGGCGGTCCAGCTGGGAAACGGCTGCTGCTGGGGGACAGGAGGAGGAGGGAGGAGAGGAAGTTGGGGCTGGAGGTCGAGCTGCTGCTGGAGCTGCTGAAGCTGCTGCTGGAGCTGCTGGAGCTGCTGCCCATACTGCTGCGGTCCCTGCTGCTGGACACTCTGCTGCTGCTGCTGCTGCTGCTGCTGCTGAGAGGGGAGAGCAAAGGCCTGGTGGGCCTGGGAGGAGGAGGAGGGGGCGTAGAGGGGAGAGGTGCGAACATCGAGGGGAGTGGGGCGGGGATTAAGGGCGGACCAGCGAGGAGGGGTGCCAGAGTTCCCACGAGCGAACCACTCATCGCTGAGTGCCTTGAAGCACGTGTCAGTTGCATGAGTGGTTTGGTTGCAGCGTTGGCCTCGGGTGGGGCCATAGAGGGGAAGATACTGACAGGGTGGGAAGGCCGCTGCTGCCCCACGACCCGCACCACCACGACCGCCAGAGCCGCCTCGACCACCACCACGCCCACCTCCACGCCCTCCCCCACGTCCGCCCTTGCCGCTGCGCTGCTGTGCTACCGCGGCAGTGGAGGAGGAGTGGCGAAGGATTTCAGCCTCAGTGGTGATAATCCACTGGGCAACTTGAGCGGGAGTGTCATGCTTGGAGAGGAGTTGCATGTATGCGAGCTTGTGGGCATCGAAGGCGGGAGTGAGGCCTTCGAGGAGGTGGCAGCAGATGACAGTGTCAGGGTAGGTAACGCCAAGTGCTGCAAGGCGGCGAGCAAGATCAAGGACGCGACGAGTAAGGCGGCTGCGCCGGCAGTGGAATCCATGGTGATGGATCCAAATTCCTTGATGAGGGCATAGAGGGTGGCGATGTCCTGCCGGTCAAAGAGGTCGACAAGCAGTTGCCACAGGTGGGAGGAGGAGGTAGGTGAAAGCTCTCGTTTGAGGGAGGAGGGGATAGTGGCGAGGAGGATGGCGAGAGCTCGACGGTCAGCAATGCGCCACGCAGCGATGTCGGTGGTGTAGCTGGCGAGACGTGTAGTGTACGTGGCGAGTCGAGCTTGGTAATCGCGGTGGCGGGCAGCAGCCTCGTCGTAGGCGCGCTTGTCGTCCTCATAGCGCAGTTGACGGCGAAGGTGGTCGTTGAGTGCGGTGCGGTAGGTACGGATGGCAGTTTCCATGCTCTGAGGATTGTTGACATCCGGCGCGAAGGTGGGAGGATCACCAGGAGGCTCGGGCTCAGGTCCGGGCTCGTCAGGAGGAGGTCCGGTGGGGGCGGAAGGGGCGATGGGCTGGAGTCCGCCTTCCTCCTGGAACACGACGGAACGGAGGGTATATCCGCTGACGACAACCGAGGAGAGCAACACCTCGACGGAGTGGGCATAAGAGTGCCAGTTGGCGGCCGAGTTGTCGCCCAACAACTCGAGAGAGTCAATGGTCGCCAGGTCGACCGATGAGTCTGCGGACGCCATGATGGCGAAGTCGGGAAGGTGCTGCTGCTAGTGCCGTTGAAGGTGCCGCTGCTGGTGCCGTTGAAGGTGCCGCTGCTGGTGCCGTTGAAGGTGCCGCTGCTGGTGCCGTTGAAGGTGCCGCTGCTGGTGCCGTTGAAGGTGCCGCTGCTGGTGCCGTTGAAGGTGCCGCTGCTGGTGCCGTTGAAGGTGCCGCTGCTGGTGCCGTTGAAGGTGCCGCTGCTGGTGCCGTAACAGGGTGGCGCTGCTGGTTTAGGGTTAAAGGTGCCGCTGCTAGGTGCTGTTGCTGGTGCGATTAAGGGTGAAGTAGGGGGGGGGAGGAGGTAGGGGAGAGGGAGGATGGCGCGGAAGTGTGGGGCAGGGCGCGGATGAAAGGGGGGAGGTCGCGCAGGTCAGTCGCGGCGGCGCGTCGGCCGCCCGTGAGAGCGCGAGGGTCGGCCGCGGCTCTGCGTCGGCCGTCCGCGTCAGTGCGAGGGTCGGCCGCGGCTCTGCGTCGGCCGTCCGCGTCAGCGCGAGGGTCGGCCGCGGCTCCGCGTCGGTCGTCCGCGTCGGCGCGGAGGTCGTCGGCGATCGCGCGGCGGCCGTTCGGGATGGCGCACAGGTCGGCCGCGACTCCGCGCTGGCCGTCCGCGTCGACGCGCGGGGTGCTCGTGGCCGCGCGCTGGCCGTCCGCGACGGCTGGCTGGCCGTCCGTGACGGCTAGCGGGCCGTCCGCGACGGCTTGCTGGCCGTCCGCGACGGCTTTCTGGCCGTCCGCGACGGCTTTCTGGCCGTCCGCGACGGCTTGCTGGCCGTCCGCGACGGTGTGCTGGCCGTCCGCGACGGAAGGCGTGAGGGAGGGGTGGCGGCGGGAGGGAGGATTGAGGCCGCGGGAGAGCGGTCGGAGGCCGCGAGAGGGAGGATTAAGGCCGCGGGAGGGAGGATTGTGGCCGCGGGAGGGAGGATTGAGACCGCGGAGGAGTAGATCTGAGCCGCGGAAAGCTAGATCTGAGGTACGGGAGGGAGGATTGAGGCCGCGGGAGGCTAGATCTAAGACGCGGAGAGGAAATTACGGCCTAAGGATCGAGGGAGGTGGCGTGAGCCATTTGGCTCTGAATACCATGATAGAATTCAAGAATGGTTGAGTAATGAGCCAAGGAGGCTCTATAGTACAAGCATGCAAGGAAGAGAGGTTGGAAGAAGGTGCAACCCTATTGGCCACTAAGTTGGCCAATGGGTGAGTTGCCTTGTGGAGTAGGGAACCCCACAATGTTGCTAGCTTGTGATTGGTTGGCCTTAGGACCAAATGTTGGCAAGTGCCAACCAAGGACCAAGACCAAACCAAATCTTGACCCAACCATGAAGTGTGGTTGGAGTGTACACCCAACCCCCCAATGGCTTAAAGAGCTACACCTATTCTAGCCTATGTATGTTGTATATATAAGATACATTTACAACACGACAGCTTGTTCAGAGAGTGTTTGCAAGGATGTGCCTGTAAGTAGCCTCTCGAAACGACTTCCTGTCAGTCATGAACCGCGAGATGAGGAGCCCCCTGCACACCATCCTCGCCCTCTCCTCCCTCATGGAGGTGTGTGCGTGTGCATGTGTCATAAGACCCAGCGTGCATCCTACACCTAGCACACGGTTTCTCTGAGCCAGCCCCCCCCTTTCATCTTCCTGTCCGTGATGAACCATGAGATGAGGAGCCCCCTGCACACCATCCTCACGCTCTCATCCCTTATGGAGGTGCGTGCATCAAACGGCAGCACAAAGGTCAAGTCAACAGCTTGGTTTGATTGTGTGCTGAGCTAGCCTGTGCTTTTAAACCAGCCTCTCAAAACGACTTCCTGTCCGTCATGAACCATGTCCCACTGCACACCATTCTCGCGCTCTCCTCGCTCATGAACGCGTGTGCATGTCATGGCACGGTGTATGCATGTGCGCTACTCATGAATCCAATCCAACCAGTATGAATCTCGTCTCCTTCCCAACATGTCCCCCTCCCATCAACTCCCCTTTGTATTTTCCTTGGCACATGGGCTTGTATGTTTTGGCATGTCATGGTGTGGCTTGGTGTAGTATGGCGCGGCATGGGAATGCTTACGATGCCATGGCATGGCATGACATGTGGGTGCACGATATGGGATGTCATGGGATGACTCTATGACATGACTCTTATGGCATGACATGGCATGGCATGATGTGGAACATGGCATGGCATGGCATGGCATGGCACAGGAGGACGATCTGACAGATGAGCAAGGACCCATGGTGGCCACTCTCACCCGCAGTGCCTCCATGCTCACATCGCTCATCTCCGATGTCATTGGGGTGGCCCAGCGCCAAGAGATCAAGTAAGTCACTGAACTGAACCGCACTGAACCACACTGAAACACGTGGTAACCTCACTGAGCCGAAAGGTACCGCACTGAGCCACATGGTACCGCACTGAACTGCATGCAGCAGAGGACCCATGGTTGCCACTCTCACTCGCAGTGCCTCCATGCTCACATCGCTCATCTCCGACGTCATTGGGGTGGCCCAACGCCAAGAGATCAAGTAAGGAAGATACTGCACTGGCCCGCACGGTACCACATTGAAATCCGCGCAGTGCAAGGGAGGGCCTATGGTGGCCACCCTCACTCGCAGTTCTTCCATGCTCACATCGCTCATCTCCGACGTCATTGGGGTGGCCCAGCGCCAAGAGTTCAAGTAAGCAGAGGTGGCACCGCACTGAACCGCATAGTACCGCACTGAAGCACTCGGTCCTGCACTGAATCGCATGCAGCGGAGGGCCCATGGTGGCCACTCTCTCTCGCAGTGCCTCCATGCTCACATCGCTCATCTCCGACGTCATTGGGGTGGCGCAGCGCCAAGAGATCAAGTAAGGACGCTTTGAACCGTGCGGTACCGCATTGAACCGCATGGTACCACATTGGATCGCTTGCATGGCGGGCACCCCCTCTCGCAGTGCTTCCATGCTCACATCGCTCATCTCCGATGTCATTGGGGTGGCCCAGCGCCAAGAGATCAAGTAAGCACAGAGATATCGCACTGAACCGCACTTTACCACACCGAAGCACTCGGTACCGCATTATGATCCATTCAGGGGTCCCATGGTGGCCACCCTCACTCGCAGCACCTCCATGCTCACATCCCTCATCTGATGTCATCGGGGTGGCTCAACGGCAAGAGATCAAGTAAGCAAAATTTGGCATTATAACGAACCACACGGTACTGCATGCAATCGCATGCAAAGGTGGGCTGGGGGGGGGGCACCCCCACTCACAAACCGGATGCTGCACAGTGCACCATACATGGTTTGAGTTGAGACGAGACACGTCTATTTTTACTTCCTCCCACCTCTCACTCTCTCACCTCTCCAGTCTCGTGCTGGAGCATCGTCCATTTGACCTGCGGAGAATGCTGCACGACGCAGCGTCCCTAGAATGGCCCATGATGCGAGCCAAGGGGCTGAGCTTCTATGTGTCTCTCCCACCTTCCCCTCCCGATCTCTTTTCAGCCTTGTGTTAGAGCACCGTCCGTTTGACCTGCGGCGAATGCCGCACGATGCAGCGTCCCTAGCATGGCCCATGATGCGAGCCAAGGGGCTGAGCTTCTCGGTCCGCTCCCCACCTTCCCCTCCCTGTCCCCCTCTCCCTCAGCCTTGTGCTAGAGCACCGCCCGTTTGACTTGCGGCGAATGCTGCACGACGCGACGTCTCTAGCATGGCCCATGATGCGAGCCAAGGGGCTGAGCTTCTCAGTGGTGATTGCAAGAGAGGTGCCTCGGCACGTGGTGGGGGATGAGCGGCGACTGCTGCGTGTGGTGCTGCACGTTATAGGCCATGCCATCGACTCCACTGATGAGGTGAGAGGATCTGCAGCTTGTTCTGCACACATGTGTGCTGCTTTGGCTCGTGCATGCCGTGAGGTGCCTCGGCACGTGGTGGGGGATGAGCGGCGGTTGCTGCGCATGGTGCCATCGACTCCACGTATGAGGTGAGATGAAAGGAGTGCTGAGTGGTGCTAAATGGTGCTGCATGTCATAGGCCATGCCATTGACTCCACGCATGAGGTGAGACGGGAGGAGTGCTGAGTGGTGCTGCATTTCATAGCCCATACCACGGACTCCACTGACAAGGTGGAGGGAGGGCCTGCTTTTGAGTCGACTCAAAAGCTGACAAGGTGGAGGGAGGGTTTCCGCCTGCTTGTATGGTGTGCTGCTGTGAAGCTGGATGGATTGACAAAGCTAGCCTACTCACTCTCTCCCTCCCCTCTTTCCCCTGCTGCAGGGCACCGTATCCGTAGCCGTGGAACTATCAGACGGCAGTCTCACCACCCTGCCTGCCTGCTGCTCTCTCCCTCCCCTCTTTCCTCTACAGGGCACCATTTCTGTAGCCGTGGGGCTATCAGACGGCAGTCTCACCACCCTGCCTGCCTGCTGCTCTCTCCCTCCCCTCTTTCCTCTACAGGGCACCATTTCTGTAGCCGTGGGGCTATCAGACGGCAGTCTCACCCCCTGCCTGCCTGCTGCTCTCTCCCTCCCCTCTTTCCTCTACAGGGCACCATTTCTGTAGCCGTGGGGCTATCAGACGGCAGTCTCACCACCCTGCCTGCCTGCTGCTCTCTCCCTCCCCTCTTTCCTCTACAGGGCACCATTTCTGTAGCCGAGGGGCTATCAGACGGCAGTCTCACCACCCTGCCTGCCTGCTGCTCTCTCCCTCCCCTCTTTCCTCTACAGGGCACCATTTCTGTAGCCGTGGGGCTATCAGACGGCAGTCTCACCACCCTGCCTGCCTGCTGCTCTCTCCCTCCCCTCTTTCCTCTACAGGGCACCATTTCTATAGCCGTGGGGCTATCAGACGGCAGTCTCACCACCCTGCCTGCCTGCTGCTCTCTCCCTCCCCTCTTTTCCTCTACAGGGCACCATTTCTGTAGCCGTGGGGCTATCAGACGGCAGTCTCACCACCCTGCCTGCCTGCTGCTCTCTCCCTCCCCTCTTTCCTCTACAGGGCACCATTTCTGTAGCCGTGGGGCTATCAGACGGCAGTCACGGGCCGGCAAGGAAGCCACACATCGAGCATCCCTCCCACGCCCTCCACTCCGCTGTATGTTCCCTCGCTTGTTCTCTCGTCTTGTTGTTCTCTCGTTCACCACGTTTGTCCATTGCGCTCGTTCATTACGTTCGCACCCTCATTCGTTCGTTCCGCGTAGGTTAGCCAAACATTCGGCTTCGACCATCCCATCCGCCTCTCCCACCCTCTCCCACTTTCTCCCTCTCTCCCACATCTCCCGTCAAGACCACATGAGGGTGCGAGACACAGTCACACTCAGGAGGGAAGAGCCCTTGCATCCCTCTCAACCCCTGTTTTATCTTTCCGAACTCCTTTCATACCTTTCCCCCCTTGCAGTTCTCCCGTCAAGACCACGTGAGGATGCGAGTCACAGTCACAGACTCAGGATATGAAGAGTCCGTAGAGGGCCCTCATGCCCTTTTCACCCCGTTTGGCCTTGTTGTCTTCTCTTCTTCTCACTCCGCCCTCACCCCTTTCCTCCGCATTCCCCCAGATCTCCCTTCAGGACCACGTGAGGGTGCGAGTCACAGTCACCGACGCAGGAGGGGAGGAGTCCAAGCAGGCCCTACTCGACCGCTTTGAGAAAGCAAGGGAGCGGGAGCAGCTGCTAAAGGGGCAGGCTATAGAGGGGATGAAGGCCCTGGGTCAGGACCCTGCAAACGTGGGCATAGGGCTGTTCCTATCTGGAATGGAGGAGGCTTTAGTAGGGTGCACACGCGTACAGGGAGGGGTGGGGCCGCAGGCAGGGATGGGGTCTGAGCTGGCTCGAAGGGGGGGAGACAGTGGCTTGCACGCACATTCACATGCTCATTCACATGCACATGCACATTCACATGCACATTCACATGCACATTCACATTCACATGCACATGCACACATGCATGCAGATGTGTCGTCATCACATGTGCATGGCACCACACATGACCAGGACAACAAGGCCAGTCGGACGCCCAGCAACGAGAGCTCTTACATCCCTCTCCACACACACGCCCAGCCTCCCGCACAGATGCCCACCAACTCGCGCCCCATCCTCTCGCGCCCCACCCTCTCGCGCCCCACCCTCTCGCGCCCCACCCTCTCGCTCATCCTCTGGCCGACACAAGCCCCCCTGCAAACATCACCACCACCAGCAGCAGCGCCTCTGCGGCCCTCCCCCAAGCCCAACACCAACCCCACGCCCCCCTTCTGACCCGGATGATACGGACCATGGTATGGCATCAGCGCCGACACTGGACCCTTTTGAGTCGACTCAAAAGTCTCAACGCCAACCTCACGCCCCCACGTCTGACCTGGGTGATACGGACCATGGTATGGCATCAGCGCCGACACTGGACCCTCCTTTAACAGGTTCATCTGCAGCGCCTCTGAATCCGTATGAGCCACCTCAGAGATCGCCCGTTGAGGATTTGAGGGAGGCAGAAGCAGCAGAGGCGGAGAGGGAGCGGCAGGCGAGGATAAGCGAGCAGTTCGTGGCTCCCTCCTGCGCCATCTGCCAGAAGCTACTCCTGCTCATGGACGGACACTACTGGAACGCCACTCAGCCTGCTGACCCCGGGGCTTCTACTGCCTTCTCCGTGCGGTTACTGTGTGACCGCACGAGGCGGAGGCACAGGAGGAGAAGGCATATGATGAGTAGCTTGGAGGGGAGTGGGGATGAGGGGTCCGGGAGTGAGGAGGATGGGGAGGGGGATGGGGAGGGGGAGGATGGGAGTGATAGCGACGAGTCGTCGTGCTCGATTGGCGCGTATATTCAAGAGCTGGAGGGGATTCGAGTGCTGGTGAGAGATTCATGTTGTCTGTCTGCCTGACTCCCTCCTCCCCACATGCACATGCTCCCAATCTTCCTCTTGACTTGCACACTCACTTTCCACACTCACTTTCCCCACTCACTTTCCCCACTCACTTTCCCCACTCACTTTCCCCACTCACTTTCCCCACTCACTTTCCCCACCCCCCTCACTTCCCCCCCCCCTCATTCCCCCCCCCCTCACTTCCCCCACCCCCCCTCACTCCCCCACCCCCCCCTCTTCCCCACCCCCCTTTCTCTCGCCGTCCAACCAGCTTGTTGAAGACAACGTGGCCAATCGCATCGCGACACATCAGCTGCTCCTGTCGCTGCACGCCACGTCACCCTAGCCGCCAGCACACAGGAGTGCCTGTCAATCCTGTCTGGCAGCAGGAAGAGCCCGTCAGCTCCCCCATTGCGGACATTGTTCTGCTGGATATATGCATGCCGGATGTGGATGGGCTGGAAGCAGCCCGTTGCATACACAAGATGTTCCGGTGAGTGAGTCATTCTCTAGGTGCCTCATTTGAGAGTGCCTGTCAATCCTGTCTGGCAGCAGGAAGAGCCCGTCAGCCTCCCCTATTGCGGACATCGTCCTGCTCGATATCTGCATGCCCGATGTGGATGGGCTGGAAGCTGCCCGCTGCATACACAAGATGTTCCGGTGAGTGATTCCTAAGTTGCTTCAGAGACGTGCCTGCCTGCCTGCCTGCCTGCTTGGCAATTTTCCCAGGCAGCAAGCAGGAAGAGCCCGTCAGCCTCCCCTATTGCGGACATTGTCCTGCTCGATATCTGCATGCCCGATGTGGATGGGCTGGAAGCTGCCCGCTGCATACACAGATGTTCCGGTGAGTGATTCCTAAGTTGCTTCAGAGACGTGCCTGCCTGCCTGCCTGCCTGCTTGGCAATTTTCCCAGGCAGCAAGCAGGAAGAGCCCGTCAGCCTCCCCTATTGCGGACATTGTCCTGCTCGATATCTGCATGCCGGATGTGGATGGGCTGGAAGCTGCCCGCTGCATACACAAGATGTTCCGGTGAGTCTTTTAGTGTGTGTCCCAGGGACGTACACACCTCCCCTCCTGATCATTTTCTCGGGCAGCAGACAGGAAGAGCCCGTCGGCCTCTCCCATTGCAGACACAGCTTTGCTGGATATATTGCTTGTTCGATGTGGATGGGCTGGAACCCGCGCGCTGCATACACAAGATGTTCAGGTGAGTGAATTAACCCTTAGGGGTTCAGGGACATGCGGTACATAATACATGCTTGCCTGGCGATTCTCCTTGGCGTCTAAGGTGCCTCAGAATCGTACCGTTCGGTGATTATCTCGGCCAGCAGGAAGAGCCCATCATTTGCATACATTGGCATTGGCTGCTACCGTACTTCCCGTTGTCTGATCTGAAAAAGAGTGCATTTTTGTGTACATCAAGTGACTAACATGGTCTCTACCCCCCTCCCACTGTCATTGACTTCTTCCCCTAACCAAGCAGTCCTGATAA